TCCAGGCTACATCTCTGTGGATACTAAGATACAAAACTCTGTCTCCTTGTTGGTAAATCTGACAAAAACAATTTTTTTATGATTAACTCAACCTCCCTGAACAGGTAAGCAGAAATATGAGGGTTGCCAGATCCCTCTAAGGGCTGCTCTAGACCACTACACCTCCACAACCTCTTATGTCTGTTTTCCCTCTGGTATACCAATGATAACAGTAAGAGAAACACACACACACACACACACACACACACACACACCCCACATACTCACACGTGATGCAGAATTGGATCTGCAATGAAATGAACCACCACCACCTGATTTCAAGTTCTCCTCCACTTTCTGAACTGCCAAATTTTGTTTCAAATGAAGAAATGAGTGCTACACCCAGATTTGAGGATCAGCCAAACTGCATGAGTACATTGCCTTTGAAGCAAGATTGAATTGCACAACCTCTTAGCTTGTTTTCTCCCAAGGTCCCGAGACTCTGGATTTTCTATATGATTCAGAATGGAGAGTTGGGTCGAGGGAGAGGGTTTCTACCTTGAGGGCTGGCCAGACCATCATGATGCCACCTGAGCAACACATCTGGGTTCTTTCACTTAGGTTGGCTTCTGTAGAGAAAAAAGTTTTCTACTTTGGGAAGAAACAGAGATTCTATTGGGCATTTCTCTTCACCACTTAGTCTTGCCCCCTCTGATTTTGTCTGTTCTTTTAGGCTAAGCAATTTTCCTAGTTTTGATCACCCAGCACATCCTCCTTGGTACATTCTGTTCCTTTTATTCTGTCTCTGCCCAATTACAGAAACACATGCATTTCTTCTCCAAAAAGCCATTTCTTGCAGAAATAAAGAAACCAACCACAAAAAACTTAAGGAAATAAAGACGAACTGGGTGGAAATCCATCCATTCAAAATGGGTCATTGACTAGCATTTCCTCTGCAATTTCAGGTAAATTCGCTTACAGCTCTCAAGACAATTGCTTCATATATTAATTAGTAAATTCTTCTAATATCATAGGATCCATTTAGGATGTTCCAAAAAGAGGCATAAAAATAACATTTACCCCATTGCTTTTGCCCAGATATGGAAATAAAACTAGACCTTCTTTTCCTTTGCTTGACATGTAAGAAGTTGAGACATGGAAAGCAGATAATCAAGCAACCCATTTAATACATTAGCAATCAAAAGAGATCAAGTTCAAGGTAGCATTACCAGACAGCAGTCTGTGGTAGAAATAAAGGTGTGAATAAGCTTGCACCCTGGAGGCAAATGTGCAGCAACACTCTAGAAGCATCCAAAGTCCCAGTTTTCCAGTTCCATGGGCCCTGTCATAAATCAAATTTAGCATCTTCCATTTCGATTCTTACATTTTGTTATTTTGGATTAGTTTTGTCTTGGGGCCACACCTGGTGATGCTAAGGAGTTGTTTCTGGCTCTGCACTCAGGAATTACTCCTGGTAGTGCTCAGGGAATATATGAGAAGACCAGGGAAGGAACCTGGGTCAGCCGTGTGCAAGCTCTTTTTACTGTGCTGTACCATTTCTCCAGCCCCAATTTTTGACTCTCTCAAACAAGCAAATTCAAAAGCCTTCCCTTGTGTCACCTGCAGGCTACACAAAGCCTGGTTCTTTCCAGACCCGGCAACTAAACAGGATTAAATCATTTCTTTCCAGCTAAACAGCCTGTATCTTTTCCAGACCAGGGACACACGTAACACCATGAGCAAGTATGTCCACTCTTTTTTCCCCTTTAAGTACAGGCCAAAAAGTTGTCAAAATTTCTGTGAAAACATTTGATATAATAGTTCAGCTACTCTAGAAGTAGGTCTCTTTGGGGACTGGTATGCAAGCATCAGGTGCTCTGGCTTGGGTCAGGGTGGGAGTTTGGATGTCTGTATATGATGACCATATGTTGAATCAGTATCTAATAAGAACCTAATAAGAATTATGCTAATCTACATGTGTCTTGATATAATAGTCCCTAATGCCTCCAGAGAAGATTCATAGGACCCTAGTAAAGATCAACCAGCTATCCATTACAAAAATAAAAGCTATAACAACGTTTATGGAATTTGTTCAGCATTTTTTTCTAAGCTAGAGATACCAAATAGAGATGAAAGAAACTTATTTTCAGGTCTGCATATTAGGATACTTGAAGTCACCATCCCAGTCAAAAAAGCAAACAATTGGACAGACTGAAAAATCGGCAACTCTTCTTGTATTCGTAATGGAGGGAGAAGCTATAGATCTCTTTCCCCTCCTCCCAGATGGAGCAAACAGACACATATGACATGTACAAAAAGAGAAATGAGCAAAAAAAAAAACTGTGACAACAATAACCTTGATGGGTATTGGATGGATTGCTGGAGCATGATTTGGACACCTGTGAACATCAGGAACTGTGCAGTATAGACATAGTTGCATGAGAGATTCCCAGTGTGAGATTCAAGCAGAGTCTCCACAGTCAAAAAATATATGAGAAATCTCTGAGTTTCCAGTAAGGGAAGGGAAAAGGAAACACTTCCATGCCTAGCTTCAGAAGGAAATACTTAATCCAAGACTAACCATTGGGAATTGTCAGAGTCCATCAGCCTGCAGGAAGAGAAGTACCCAACTCTAGCCCACTCTAACCATGCTGTCCCACATTCAGGGGTGGTGGAGAATTTAAAAATAGAAATTCCTGCAGTTCACAGCCTAGAGGCACAAAAAATGAGAACTAATCATAAACAACAAAAAGTTTTACCCCTCACCCACCACACCTTCGTGTTACCAAGGCCTGTTTATAGAAGTCCCTTTTACCTGGGTACATCTTGTCCACCCATTAATTTTTTTCCTAAAGCGTGTTAATGATAAAAGCCCAATTTAAGTAGGCAGAGAAAATATCAGACTTGGGCAAGGTAGGGGTTTTGGAATTGTCAGTCAAGGAACTAAAACAAGTATAAATAAGACACTATAGGCTCTAAATGTTCTTATTGAGAGCAAAAAGCAGGTGGACAACAGAAGAGAGACCTGGAAATCCTAAAATAGAACGCAAAAAGAAGTAAACTGCAATGGGACTGGAGAGGAGTATGGGGAGTATGAGTATACACTGTGGAGTATAGCAGGTAGGGCACTTATTTTGCACAAGACTTACATGAGTTTGAGCACCAACATCCCATATAGTCTCCCAAGCACCACAAGGATAATTCCTGAGTGCAGAGCCAGGAGCAATCCATGACCATTGTTGAGTGTGTCCCATAAACAAAAATTTTAAAATTTAAAACAGAAATAAAGCATGGAGTGCCATGAGCAGTATGTGCATTTATAAATTATACTTAAAAAGGTAAAAAGAGACAAGTAAGACTAGCTTTAATGGTAAACTTTATTCAATCCCATATATCAAAAATTGTATTTAGAAACATAATCAAATATAAAAAATTAATAAAACATTTTACATTTTTAGTATATCTTCAAAATCAGCACAACTCAGTTCAGATTAACTATATTTCAATTGCTTGGGACTCACGTATGTATAGGAGTCAGAGTATTGGAAAGGTATGATTTAGATTCCCCACGTACAACCTGAGTGATCTTGGATGCAGAATTTAAACTTTCTGAGTCTGCTCTTTTCTCTGTTCACCTCCACTACCTACCAGGTAAACTAGTTAGCAGAGAGCAGTACTAGGTAAGCACTCCATAGATTGCACTAACTGTTCTTATTCTTTAAGCAAATGGCCATCTAACTAGTCATTCTGTCTCTTCTACTTTAAATTTTAGTTGGAAGATTAGGGAAAGCATAACCTAAACATTATCAGTTAACAAACATAGTTAGAAATGATCTTGGAGTAACTAATGACTTGATTCATTTATGAGATGAAGGTCTGGAGGACTTTATTTCAATGTCATGATAGAAAAGCTAAAACCAAAGTATAATCTGCTGACAAACAGCTCATCACAATATGGTTTCAGGAAATTGGGTAATAATATCTTGGCTACCATACACTTAAAATTAATTATAGACCAAATACTAAGCAAAGTCTTTTTCATAAATCCATTCACTTGACAATGAGAATACAACAAACACACATTCAGCCCCCACACAAACCTCTGTAAAGCCAATAAACTCATTCTCATATTAAAGATTTAAAAAATTCAGAATGACTGACAAGTGTCCAACGTTGGTGTGTACATTAGATGAAATTTCATCACCCTTTGATATCCCATAAAGATGATGTGGGCTACATGGATTGGCCAGAGGCCAGCTCTCTGCAGAGAAGAAAGAACTAATGATTTTAAACCCCAAAACTTCCTATTTATAAATTGAGTGTAAGAGATCAAGCACAGACTGTGAAGAATGGAGTCATCTTCCAAATACCCTAAGTACTTGTTTCTGTGTGCACAAACCAATTCTTTCACTGGAAAAAGCAAGACAACAGATTAAACCACAACTACTTTTTATTATGATTATGATTATGACCATGTCTATTAGGAGACTGGCAACTCATTTGAGATGTCTGGTCTTGAAAGCAATTTGAGAGAATGGGGTTTGGGTGCAGAATGGTTGGTAAAGCAGAGAGTCATTTTCCCAAAGACCAGCTCCAAAATCACGTGGGTCTTGTTTTATCTGGCAAGCTGAGCCATGATTCTAGTTATGGGACTACAGGGGATACTGTCTAGACCAGTTCTTTTGGCCTTGGGGTTGGCAGAACATAGAACCAGAAAGCTAAATCATGGTCCAAACATCTCTGCCTTTTTTTTTGGTAGACTGTCTAAATGGATGGAAACAAAAATCTCAAACAATGACCAAATGGCAATAGAGGAGAGAGTGCAAGCACAGCACAGAATTTCCCTCAGTTCTTTACAGCTAAGTGCTGGTTCTTGGACTATGGAGACCAAGAGTGAGTATCCTGCTGCAGAAAACATACAGTTCAAGCTGAAATGGCTTTTCTGGGTCAGGGTGGCTCTCAATGGTGAGAGGTGTTTTCAATCTCCAAGAGGGCACTATGACAGGAAAAACACATCAACATGTAATTGAAATAATTTATTTACCACTAGAGCACCACAAAAACAGACATACATTGTGTTAAAATACAGCATCATTGGCCACCAAAATACAAAACAGCTATTCTTATATTCCATTTTTTTAAAACCATGCCAACCTTAACATTGTACTGCTTAACACAGAGAAACCATACCCTGACCCCATACTAACATTTCCTTCATCTCCCTTCACCCCACCCCTATCCTGGTAATATTTATTTATGGGAAAACAAGGCCTTTAGAAAAACCCCAAATGAAAACAAAAGTGATTCAAGAGATCTTAAAATAGAGCATTTAAAATATTATCAGTGCATTCATGAAAAGAGACAAAATATTACAAAACAAAATGTCATTTTTTTGAAGAAGGAAAAATACCTGCAGAAAAAAAGTGATTTACATAGAGTGAACGGAAGAAAAGTGGAAGAGAGACTCAAAATCAACACATTCAAACCTGGGGCTGGGCAGCCTCCAACCTCCTGGGGGCACCAATCCCCATCTCTTGCTTTTCCAGTTTTTAAACTTGCTAATTCAATCCCTTATTTGCAACTGGGGGGAGGACAATTATAGCCTATCAAAAACATTTTCTTGGGACTCACATTTCACTGTGCTCCTCATTAAGTGAAACTACAAAGATTTTAGTGTCTCACCTACTAACTTTTATCTGAGAGTTCAATATGGTGCAACTGACAAAGTGACTCATCCTACAGACCCTACAATAAGTTTTTGTTTTCTGCCATTATACTGAAAATTCCAGCCCCCAGTACAGATAATTCTCATTTAGGTAAGAGAATAATTCTCTTTTTTGATCATGGGAGAATTTGACTGGTGCCTTTCCAAAACCCTTCAAAGAACACCTAGAAATACTTTAACTTCAGAGAAAAATAAACAAAATGATTTATGCCAACCTGAACTCTACACTCTCTCCCCTTTAAAAAAATCATTCAAAATGTAAATCTTTCCACTTCCTCCTAACACTAAAAAACCTGATTAAAGAAAAAGATGTCTTACCAATAATCTACTGTTTTATACCCATAGAATTCTTCCAAGTGCCAACTGAACACAATTAGAGAAACCTTTTCTAATTTAGTCACTAAGACTTGGGGTTTCTGTCTGCTCCTTGAGCCCTAGTTAAAAGGAAAACACTTAACCTCTATTATCTACATAACAGTTTCCACATCTGGGTTGACTGGTACTTATGCTTAGAAGAGAAAGAAAGTCTATAAATTCAAATCACTCCTTTTTATAAAAAGGAAAAAATGTATCCAGGTTGCTTCTATCATGCATAAGAATGGATAACTCATACAACAACATGAAAGAGGACGACACTGGATGAGGCAGAACAAAGACTCCAGAATAAGGATTAGTAGAGCATGTCCAAATACAGGGCTTTTACTTGCAAGTACTGGCCAGCCAAAAGAAGTACAAAATTTAGAGCAATCATCATTGAAAGAATCCCCAAGTCAGTCTAATTTGAACCTTAATCAACATTATTACGAACTATGAAAAATAGGGCAATGATGGCCACATGATACTAAATGTAGTCAACATTTTGATTGAATTGTTTTCAAAAGATCTGCAGCTGTGTTTCACCAATTCCAATAACATAAGTAGGGTTACAGAGCTGAGCTATCCAGCAAGAATTCTAGGCTGAAGTTTGCCCAGGACATAGTCAAACATTTCAACATTCCACTGATTTACCAAATGGACAAAGAATAATTTACAATTAAAAAAAGTGGGGAAAAGAAACCTTTACAGACTTATTCTGATGGAAATTATACTTAATTTACAGGCCTTTCTCTTTTTGAACCTTAAAAAGATTCCTTCAGTGGTAGAGAAAGAGCTGGTGTTTCCAGGGTCTCCATCTTAAAGTGGACTTGCTCGGTCTTCCAATAATTCGTTCAGGTTTTCCTGTCATTGATCTGACCTCTCCACTTCAGGCTCATTTGAGTTCAAGCTCCTTAAGCCATCCATGAGTTTCCGGCAAAATATTTGGTCTCCACTTTATACACTTGTTTGTTTTCCAAGGGCAATTAAATGTTCATTATATAGTAACACATAATAAATAACTCACTGTGAACTCTAAAGAAAGAAGGGAAAGGATGCCTAATCATAGCAACTCAGAAAATTCAGCTGAGACATGGGATAGGACGGTGTGCACAGACATCCACTTCATGGAATTTTCCTGTTGTTGGTTTGTTTTCTTTTGTGTAATTCACACTAACAACTTCTTCCAGTGTTTATTTATTTATTTTCTTAAAAAGAAAAGATTTGGCTTCTTACTTCTCTCCCTTACAGAGGAGGTGAAATGGAGACTAAGGCTTTCACTTTTTTTTTCTGATGCCAGTTTTAACAAACAGCACACACACTTCCAAAATGTTTGAACTAGTACCGCTTTTGCAATTTTTTAACACAGATGAAGCAAGGCTCTCTCCTGTTTTCTTGTTACTGATATTGTCAATGTCATCATCATCATCATCATAATCATCATCATCATCATAGTCGTCGTCATTGTCGTAGTTGTCATCATTGTTGTGATTCTTGTCTTGCTACTTTTCTGAGACTCTTAGCTGCATTTGCAAGACTTTACAATCATGTTGGACAGCTGTTCAATTTTGGGGGTTTTGCCAATGTAGTAGAGAATGGTCAGAGGCTCTAAATCCTGGGACACACAGCAAGGAGAAGCAGATGCTTCTGGATTGATGGTATTATATAAGCTGAGAACCTGAGTACAAAAGAGAGGGAAAGGCCAAATCAAAACCAATAAACAAACAAATAAATAAATATGAATAAAGTAGTTTACCATGGCATGTGGTTATCTTATCAAACAAGTAGGCACTTCATATTAATTTTTGGCTTACTATTTCACTTTCTTTTTTTTTTCCACTTCTTCCCCAGTATTTATTTAGGCACTGAAATTCACAGTGTTGTTAATAATGGCTTATTTTCCCTTTTTTTTTAATGTACCACACTCAGTGGTACTGAGGACTTACTCCTGGCTCCATGTTCAGGGGTAACCCTGTCTGTGTTCAGAAAACATAAGTAGTAATAAGGATTGAACCAGGATCAGTCGCATGCAAGCAAGCACCTGAACCCCTATGCTACCTCTCAGGCCCCTGATTTTCTTTTCTAAACACCAAATTACAGTCAAACTTGAAAGAGCCTCTAGTCATCACTGAATTCACCATTTTCCTGCAGCCTCCTTTCTGCAGATAGCATATACAAGTGATTCTGTAAAAGTTATATTGAATTAAATAGCTCCATCAACAGATTTTTTCCATAAGTTGGGACTTTGATTACTGTTGTGTTGCCCACACTTCCCAGGTGCCACCCCCACTCCAAATTTGCTCCTCTGAATTCTTGTCTTCATACCACTTTACTAACACTATTAGTGAAAGGTGACTAATAATGATCAATTCTCTAGTGGTAGAGGCTCCACTGGAGGCCAGTTCCAAAACAACATGAAGAGAAATTTCTCTCGTTCGATCCAGTTTGTCTTTCTCTTTCAAAGTGATCTGTGGCTTTTCCAAGTGCCAAGTATGGTGGGTTTGCCATGATGATAGGCATTTCCAAGAATGCCATTAAAGGACCAATCCAAAAGTAAGTGACCTTTTCCTCGAGATTCAGCCTAAGACAGTAGGTCTGTCCGGGGCAGCCACACTGACTATACTACTAAGCTACCTCTGCCTTCCTGGGGAACAGTCCAAACCACATATTTGTGACCACCATAGCTATTCTTCCTCTCTTCTTGAAAAACAACATGGTCTCAGCCTTCACACACTCCCTCTGTGTATCAGGGAGGAGAATTATGTTTCCAGTTGGCAACCAGGCCTTGCCACATTACAGCTACTGTTGCCACAACCCAGATGGAGCAGCTGGGCCCGAGAGATCAGACAGAGGGACAGGCATGAGCAATCTTCTCTCATACGTGGCTAAGCACAGAGTCACCTTTGAATGCAAAAATCTACAGGAGAATTGAAAAAAAACTGAAGTAAAGGGAATCATATTTTCAGCTTAAAGGTTGATATATGTAGGGGAATTATAAGTAAATAAATGCACTGCATGTTCCACCAAAACAAGATTTTTCATCTGAATAGACCAATTATTACATAGATTTCTCAAATAATTGATAACTTCTCCAAATTTTTTATTTGAATTTATGTATTATGTGACTTTAGGGATCACAGATTCATTTTCCTATCCTGTGGTGAAGGCAATTTTTCTAATGCCTCTTTAATGAGGCTTACACAGCATAATCCCAATGTGTGGTCACATTTTGGGAATTAAACTCAGTAACAGGGAAAGGGGATCAGGTTATAAAAGAACAGGGATGGCATTCCAAGCACTGATTTGTCACTAACTTTCCCTTTGATCTCAGGCAAGTCATATGCATGATCTGGGGCCCATTTCTTTAAAAGAGTGGAAAACGTGGACAAGATAACTTAAGAAGTCCTTTCCTATACAAAATCCTATATCATTTACCTTCTGGAGGCAACATACAAATAACATTATTACATAGAAAAAATCTTGGTTAACTGGGGCTGGGAACCCAGAGTATTAAAATCAACCAGAGGATAATCTTCTTACCTCACTGAAGTCAATTGTATAAACACTCAAATTTTTACTTACTTTGGGTTACATTTTAAAAATCTTCAAGAAAATATTTTCAAACCATTGTTTACACAGAGCATCTTTTTGAACACTTAAATTTGACAATATTATTTTGAAGTTTATTCCTATTTTCCTTTTATTTATTTATTTTTTTTGGTGGGGGATGGTATGGCTACAAACCATCTTAGATGCTCAGGGGTTACTCCTGGCTCTGTATTTAGAAGTTACTCCTGATGGTTCTTGGGGGATCACACAGGATGCTGGGGATTGAACCCAGGTTAGCCCCATGCAAGACAAACACCGTACCAGCTGAACTATTTCTCCAGTTCCCTTTTATTTTCCTTTTTACAGCTGAAAAACTGAGGTTCAGAGATGCTAAATGACTTTCTGTCACACACTAGTGATTCACTATTCCAAAGCACCAATGAAGTCCTCAATCTTTTTTGTAATAAAATAGTTCCTAATGTTGGTGACCAGAAATGTTTTCTTAGAAGGGGGCCTGGGATTCTTCCCATCTTAGTTGTATATGACATCAAGTGATGTGTTGATTCCAGAAGTTTTTCCCTAGATACCTGTCAGCCTACAGCTGCCCAGCACATACAACAAAGGGAAAATGAAGCAAAACTAACTAGTTGTCTATAATCTCATTGAGAAGACACTACAAACTCCTCAAATTAACCAGTGTTTCTTGCTTGCCTGCCTGCCTTCCCTGCTTTCCCTCCTTCCCTTTCTTCCCTTCTTTCCTCCCTTCCCTTTGCTTCTCTTTCCTTCTCCTTCTCTTCTCCTTCCCTTCTTCATTCCTCCCTTTTTTCCTTTCTCTCACTCTCCTTCCCTTTTTGGGGGAGGCATATCCAGCAATGCTCAGGGGTTTCACCTAGCTCTGAGATGATGGGAACTGAACCTGGATCAGCCATGTGCAAGGCAAGTTTCCTCTTTTCAGCTATCTTTCCAGCCCATAGAATTGTGTTCTGATCTTACGTACAGTCATCATTCTTCCCTGTCCTTCAGAGGGCCTCTCCAGCACCCATTATGTGTGATGCTGAGAAAACTTCTGGCTAATTCATTTGGAAATACATCTGTGGATATACACTAACACTCAAGACCAGAAAAGACATATTAGCCAATACTCACCCTACTGTGTTGAGTATCTGAGCTCCACAGATAGGGACATGCCCCGGCACAGAAGTTGGCATTGTACCCTTTGGGTTCATGTATCCATTTCCACCCAAGATCCCTCTTGAAATCTATGTAAAGTGGACGTAGGCAGCAATTATCTTGTACATTTCTGTTGTTTTTTGAAGAGAGAGAGAGAGAGAGAGAGAGAGAGAAAGCAATGAATACTTCAAAACTGATTTCCCCCATTCCAAAACATAAAAATGACTTATTTTTCTGTCCAATGAACAAGTATTATGAACCAAGGTTTAATGGTTTTATGTTGATCTCAAGTGACTTTCCTGAGGGGTGGTACACTGCACTACTGTCCCTGATCCCTTTAATTGTGACCCAAAAACTGAATCTTTCCCTTATATGACTAGATATAAACAAAGAGGTGCTGACAATCTTTTACAACCAACACTCCAGTGTTGTCATCCAGCCTCAATTTCCCTTTCCAATATAAAAGAAATAAAGGACAACAGCTATCTCCAAAGACCCAAATAGAACATTTTCCTTTGGAGGTAAATATTTCACTTCATGTTCCTGATTGTAGAGTGAACCAGAGATCATGAAACACAGAATCCTGCTTAGTGAAACCACAGGATCCAGCATTAAACAAGCACCATTTGGGGGGTCAAAGCAATAGTAAAGCAAGTACATCACTTGCCCTGTATGCAGATGACCTGGCTTGGATCACCAGCATCCCATATAGTCCCCCAGGTAGTGCCAGGAATGATTCCTGAGTCCAGAGATGATAGTAACCCCTGAGCATCACTGGATTTGGCCCCAAAACAAAAACAATTTTAAAAGCATCATTTTGCTCATGAATTCTGACACTTTTTCATACTTCACAGTCCCCAGAACTCTCAAAGTAAAGAAAGACAGATGATCAAGAGGCACATGACAAAAGGTACAACATACCTCATGTTGTCTCATTAATAAGATTTTTTTAATTGGGATTTTATTTTTAATTTCTTTTGTCAGGGCTTAGAACACCTGCACCCCTGCTCAAAAACTGTCTGGTTTGGAGCCCAGAAGTGACCCTTAACAGTGCTTGGTGGGCCCATGTGTAGTACTGGAGATTCAAATCAGGGGTGAGATGCAAAATAAATGCATAGTCCCTGTACTAACTCTCAAACCCATCATGTCTTATAATTAGGCAAATAGAAATCAAAACCAAGAAGAGACATCACCTACAAGGATACAGATAAAAATAAAGTTCTGCTGGACAGTGGGTGGGAAGTATACTGGTGTACCATGATGGAGATCAGCACAGAGATGACTCAAAAATTAAAAATGGAAATTCCATAGAATTCAGCTATCCACTTCTGGGAATTTACCCAAGAAACATGAAAAAAACAAACTTGAGGAGAAATTGATATCCCCGCACCTGTGGCAGCATCATTCCCAAGATCCAAGAGTTGGAAAGAACCTAAGTGGCCAGGGAAAGAGGAGCAATATGGGAGATGTAGCATCTATACACATGAGTACTAACATACTCATACACATCAACAACAATACTTCCCATAAAAATACTCAATTCTGCCTCTTGAAGCAGTTAGTACAGATTTAGAGGATACCACAGTTTAGGCAATCAGATGGAGAAAGACAGGTGTGTGATTTCGTTCTTACTGGTACATAAATAAAAAAAGAAACCAATGAATTTAGTAAAATAATAGCAAAGTTTAAAACTACAAGATCAGTATCAATTGTTTCTAGAAGCGAAGGGAAAGGGGGCATTTAAATTAGGGTGAAAGGATCAAAATATAGTGAAGAATGGAATTGGACTGTTGGTGGTTAACTGAACATAATACAGACACATGTTAATTTTCAATGATGTACACCTGAGACTTTCAAAATGTTATAAAGTAATGTTGCTTCAATTATAATCTTGGGGGAGGGGTAGTGTTTGAGACCATATTTGGCTATCATAGTTCTAGGACCCTCTTGCATAAAGCATGGACTCCAACCCTTTGAGTCATCTACCTGGCCCCACATTTTTTTTAAAGAAAAAGAGCCTTCCTCTTCTAGGCTGAATAAGAAACCACAAGACATTCCCCTGGTTGCTGTTGAGTTTACCCATGAAATGAACATGCAAATAAATTGCATCTCTCACATGCTAAAGCTACAGTCTGGACAGAATCTTTTCTCTTCTTAAGAGCAGTGACTGGAAACCCTGCCATAAAGGCAAAGGCTTCCGAGGCCAGTAAGTCTTTCTAAATAAGGAGCATCCAGCAAGCACCGCAAATAAGCTGACTACTGTGGGGAGTATAGAGCTTATTTTCTATAGGATGAAGTGGGGCAGGAGGGAGGGTTAGGGTGGCTCATTTTTTACCCTTCACACTTGATTCAATATTAAAGAGCTAGCAAAGACATTAGAGATAAAAACTGTTAAGAGGTTCAAGGTTCAAGGGGCTCAAGGGGTTCCACAAGATAGTGCAGGGACTAAGAGGCTTGCCTTGCATCTTGCTGATTCCTATTGGAGTCTCCAGCACCTCCTGTGGTTCCCAAGCACTGCCAGGGGTTACTCAAGCACAAAGCTGGGAATAGTTCCTGAACACAGCAAAACAGGGAAAGAATAATGCTATGAGATACATCAGCTTTCCTACACTTCACTTCCCTTGGGCAACGTGTGATCCAGCAAGTTCGCAGGGCGATAAAAGAAAGGACAGAGAGAGAACAAGAGTGAACAGACACAGTGGCTTTATTTTACACTGCTCTCCTTTACCTAAAGCAATAGGCCGCATCCAGAGAACGCTTCTTCCGTCGGTTCGACTGTTGCGACTCCAGTCTGTAGGAGGGCAACAACATTAGCAGGAGATGTGGGCTCTTCCCACTGTTTTTTTTCCTAGTAGACTTTATAGTTCTCTGATCACCACTGCCATATGTGGAGGTGCCATCAATACCTTGAAAAAATGCATTTGGATCATAAACATGGAGCTTTACCTTGGTCAAATATCAGCTCTACTTTTCTCTTTGCTTATTGTCACACATACCAGTGACACCACCCTAGCATCTGCTAGCTACAGTGAATTCCCCCTGGAGATTGACATGACAGAACAGGGTAAGCACAGGTGACAATAAGCACATCTTATGGACCCTTGACAGAGGCAGTTTTGAGTCTAAGAGAGGGAGTGATTCCTGATTAGAGACATCTGTGTCTGATCATTCCAAGGTAACTGAGGGTTTTACTGTTGGTCAAGCATCGAGACAGAGTGCCCCAACCCCAATCATGACCCATCACTCATGACAGAGCCTATGTCTTGGTATTCTCTGTCCCTCTCTTCCTGGGACTGCAAACTCAAAGGAGTCTCCCTGTTGAACATAGTAAGTTGAGACTTAACACCAACTTGCAGGGCATTCAGTTCCAGTGAAACAGAAGTTCCCCTGACCTCACGCTATTTGGTGAAACTAGGAAGAAAGGGCTTTTTCATTTATTTTATGATGTCCTCAACACTTTCCTGATTCCATCTGCGATTTAGAAACCTGAGCTCCCAAAAGCATGCTCCAAAGACTGCCAATTTAAGCATTTAATCTCCACACTCTAGAGGATCATGACTAGGCTGGAAACTGAAATAAATCTCAAGACCTCAGGGAGTATTTTTCCATGAGCAAGGACCTCTGTTGCCTTTTGCGAGTAAGTGGGAGAAGTCCAGGGTGTGGTGAATGAGGGAAGGAAAATTAGCTGTCTAGGCTGGTGGAGTGGATTTCCCATCTCTCATTGTCTCTAGCACATAGAACCCTGATGTGAAGCATAAATTGACATGAACCCTGGGCCTCTCCTCATTATCTTGAACTTCTAACTGAAAATGAGCAAAATGACAGAGAAAGTGCCAACCACATTACATGTTTATCAACTATAACTTAAGTTTGATGAGGAAATCACTTCCAATATGGGCATAGACCTAAACACACACAGATATAGGCATGTTCCAATACAGGGAGTGTGAGTTAAAGCAACCACAGGTGACCTGTGTGACAGTATAGCAGGTAGAACATCTCTCTTCTATGTGGCCTTCTATGTCATTCAATCCCTGACATCCCATATAATCCCTGATCCTCACCAGGAGTGATCCCTGAGCACAGAGGCAGGAGCACAGAGGCAGGAGTAACCTCTGAGCACTGCCAGATGTGACCCCAATACAGAAGCTGTAAATGGCACTAGGATGATTCCTTCTCTGACATATACCTGCAGGCTCCCAGCACTGAGTTTGGAGAAATGTCCATGGGTCTCCCCAAAAGCATGCTGTCTTCCATGCTGTTAGTATAGGTGGAAAGCTACCTTGCTTAAATGATGAGTAAGGGAACTAGCCAACTATTTCATAGTTTGGATGGTTGGTGGGGTAGTTAATTAATACTAGGCAAGTCATCAGTGGACCAAGCCCACTGTGTAAACTGAAACCAATCCTTTATTCTTTCTTCTATCTCACTAAAACACTACTTGGCCCAAACAAATGAAATCCCTGAAGCCCCACAGACCTCATCAAAAAATCCCATTTGCACAAGCAAACTGACTTCATCTCCCCAGAGATTAACAACCCAAGCCCTTCCCTCCCCCACTTCATAAGATCATATTTCAGTTACCTGCAAATCTTGCTTCTAGTTCTTCGCTTTTGTTTGGGATGATGTAATTATTGGATGGTACAAAGGTACAGCAAGGACAGTGCAAGCTTATTTTAAATCCCAGGTTCCTGTCTGGAAAACATTAAGTCACGGAGGTCATTTGTATGCGTATCTCTTTCCTGAAAACTGCTATCCAGTTACAATAACTTGAGTCACATCGAAGGAGGAAAAGAAGAGGGAATTTTAACCTTTATGGTGGAGCCATTCATGAACAGCATCGGTTACATCAAAAGACAGCCATTCTCCTTCTGCTCTCGTCTTTACAACTTTGCTGTCGATGTAGCGCTGTGTTGGAGATGTCAAATCCTTAGATTTGAGAATCTAGAGCAGGAGTAAGTAAAAGAAAGAGCGAAGTTGGCATCCGGACAACATGACTCAACCAAAACCATTAACAATATTCCAATTCATTATCTCGATTGAGTTCTGCTGAAGCCTGCCCCTGCGCTGTCATCTCAACAGCACTATCACATGTGTCAGAACAGAACACCAGGCCATTTGCCATAAAAAATAGAGCTACTAAATCAGCTGTGTGTTATGATAAAGGTGACAGGAACCATAAAGCCAAGTGTCTAAAAGAAAGTGACAGTAATTATTTTACTTTTCGGTCATGACCTTTGCAAGATTTCAGCCATAAATTCTCTGCTATTAAGTTAATAGTAGTGTTGGTTGACTTTGCTGCTTTCTGAGTTGGGGGATGAGGGTAGTGAATGGGGTAGAGCCCCCTCCAGGGGTAGCTGGAGGATCTACGTTTACCATTTACAGGCCTTGCATCATAAATCTGTTTCTGCTAAAGAGAGAAATGCACCAATCCCATCTTTCTGGTTCCTAAATCCACTAACATGAAAACCTGGGGCACTCCTCAGCTTTTGAGTTGAGTATCTAGCTGGAATATCTCCTCTCGGTGGGTCTTGTTATGATTTATTCCTAACCCCGCAGACTTGAGTTGGTGCAGGAGTAGTCTCGTGCAATGTGTTCTGAAAGTCTGAAAGCCAAATCAGACTGAACTCTGAGACTTTATGGGATGCAGTTTTCTCAGATATAAGCAACTGTGTGACAAGCTTGGGTTTCTAGAGTAAGTGAATATTTTAGGCAGTTTCTAGAAATTCTGTCCACCTTTCAGTGAGAGTGTTTTATGAACCAGTCAAACCACAATACTCAGTCTCCTAGAGCTAAATTAAATCCTTTCCCCAATGCACAATCTGCCTTTCCTCAGGATTTTGGGGTTTCAGCCTGCTGTGCTATATACCACCTTTTTAATTTTGCATCCTTCTGTTCTGTGGTCATTTCATACATCTGGGTTTGGTTTCTCCAACAAGTTCATAAGCTTTCCCAAGGCAGGGATCAAATCTTCCATTTAATACCATTTCAAAGCATAGCCCTCGATTCAATCACTGTCTATTAAATGACTATTTGAATATCTCAAGGATTTACTTGGTCTCTTTGGAAGATTATGAAAAAAAAATGCATAACCTTCCCACTGACTTTGAAATACGCTTTCCTTCCGTGTGAATACATAATTTGTTTCAGGTAATCTGGCAGTCAATGCTTTCTGGAGTAGTTGGCATTATATAAGACTTGTGGGGCTGGGGGACATGATTAAGCCAGTTCAGAAAAGAAAATTGATCCATGTCATTGGGCTTTGGGGTGCCCTCATGAGTTTTAGGCCAACTCTCCTCTACAGATCAGCCTGATAAAGTTCAACAAGCTGGCTGAGTAAAGAAAATGTAGAGGTCTCCATGATCCTACCACAATCAAAATGTGCTCTTTGTGATTTTTCATGGTGTACATGAACAAGACTTGAAACAGTACTCTGGCCTGTGCATTTGGCACATGTGATTTCCTCTCATTTAATGCCCAAGTTTTGCCACCAGGTAGATTGTGAAAACTAACTTTAGGACATGGAGAAATTAAGCAACTTGCTCCTGGCCTTAGAGTGGTATGTAGATTTAAAGACATCCCAGGCCACTTTCCCACTTCCTGCTGGATTTTTGAAGTTCAGAAGAGTAGTGAGATCAGTTGTTGGATCAGGATTCACCCTCCCCCTTTTCAGATGAGGGGAAATATGTCAAAGCTAGAGAAAGTTTTTTTTAGTTTGATTATAGAGCTGGATTTTTTTAGTTTGATTATAAAACTGATTTTTTTTAATTTGATTAGAGTGCCTGCCTTGCATGGGGCTGACCCAGATCAGTCCCTGGCAACATGTAGGCACCAACTGAGCACCTCCAGGAGTGATTCCTGAGCATAAACACAGTATTAACTCCTGTACACTGTTGGGTATGGTCCAAAAATAATAGATTTGGGGCCAGAATGATAGTACAGCAGGTAGTGCATTTACCTGGTACACAGCAAACCTGAGTTCAGTTCCTGAACCCAATGGTTCACCAAGCCCTGAGCATAGAGCCAGGAGTAAGTCCTGAGCACAGCAAAATGTGACCCCAAAACAAAAATATTTAAAATTAAATTTAAAGTTAATTCTATGACTATTGATACTATTAATAAATCAGTATTAAATTACATAAATTTTCCATGAATTTAAAAATTAAAAAACTATTCAAAATATAATATTTTCAAGATGAAGCTGTAACATGCAGGATGTGTAATATAAACAGATAATAATAGTCAACCATCTGGAAATCTAAACTTGCCTTCATATCACTCCCAATGAGGCAAAAAAGCATCTTTACTCCAAATCATAATAAATGGGATATGGGGCCAGAGCAATAGTACAGCAGTTAAGATAATTGCTTTGCACACCACCAACCTGGGTTTAACCCCCAACATCCCATTTGGCCCTCCGAGCACCACCAGAAGTGATTTCCGAGTACAGAACCAAAAGTTACCTCTGAGCAGCACTGGATGGGCCCCAAAAGAAAAACAAACAAATAAAACCTGCCAAAAACAGAATAAATGGCATAATGAACCTAATCAAGGATAATAATAATAAAACACTGGTCAAGAAGAATTTTTTAAGGCATTTCTGCCTCCTTGACTAAAAGTTTGTTTTCTATCTTTATACTTCTTCCCCTACCAGTCTTCCACGGTGAGGCATTCTTTCACAATAGATTAAAAGATATATGATTAAAAAAAAAGTAGAGAATAGATTCTCCATGAAGATACAGAATTTTTAAAGATCAGATTCATATGACCAAATGGTAGAAAAATCACACATGGCCAAACCTTTGCAAATCCCTGATCCCACAGAGAAGGGGTCAGTCTAGCTTATGAAACTTTAAAAGCAAATTAAGTGGAGCAAAGCAAGCCTGAAAGTGTTTCCTATTTAAAATCTTACTACAGGGCTGGAGCAATAGCACAGTGGGTAGAGCGTTTGCCTTGCACGCAGCTGACCTAGGTTCGATTCCCAGCATTCCATGTGGTTCCCCGAGCACCGCCAGGAGTAATTCCTGAGTGCATGAACCAGGAGTAACTCCTGTGCATCGCCAGGTCTGACCCAAAAAGCAAAAAATAAATAAATAAAAATAAGTAAAATCTCATTACAAATTAAGTTCTTCCTTGCTTACAGCAGATGAGCAGTTTCTGACACTGGACTTCACATTCTCCCCTGGTCACAGACCCTCGGCAACTTTTACTCATTGAACAATTGGACTGTGTCAACCACACAAGAAAGATAGTTATGTAACTTTGAGATGGACCCATGACTTTGGTCTTGCGACTTGTTGTCTCTAACTTTATGCCCAAGGAGTTCTTCACCCACATGTTGCAGTTTTACTCCATTCGGTCTTACCCGGTCTTCTGCAGAGACAGGAAACAGCTGCTTTCCATCACTCATAGAATATCACTCATAGTCTTGGAGGCTGTGATTAAATCTCCTTCAGTTCACTCCCGCTTGGCTAAATAAACCCGGTTTCTTGAGCCCCTTAATCGCTGGGGTCACTTGCCAGGATGAACTGTGCCCTGTGAAATCCTCCTTCTCCAGATCCATGAGTGTGCTCAGAACTGGCTAGAAACCCTTCAAAGGGCTCTCAGGTCTCCCATCTTACCTCGAAAGCAATCTTCTTTCTAAGCCTGAGCACAGTCTCCCTATCAGCCCTACTTAACTTCCATTTATTTCCCATCATCAATTCAACTGTCAGGAAAGAAAGAAAACTTGTTGCTCTATCAATAAACACTTTCTTAAATTCAAGAGTTTATACACAAATGCTCAGATCCATCAACTCCCTCTTCTATTTTAGCCTGTGCTGTCTGCTTCTCTCCGATCTGCCAACAAGTGTACTGAATGTTAACAGTCACCAATATGCAGCTGTTGTTTTGTTTCTCTCTTGTTCAAGAGCCACAGTCGCTTCTAACTTCCTTTATATATCTTAGCAGGGCAAAGAACATTTAGACTAGCAAAAAGCTCTCTTATCCAGGATTCCCTGTCCCTTCTGTAAAATATTTTAGCTGATGCCCACAGACTGCCATGTTGCATTGCTGAAAAATCATTTTGTAGCCTTTGATTTATCAATGATCTCTATTCACACTTAATAGTTGTAACATGAGTTGTGAATTCACAGTGTTCCACAGGACAGTGTGTGAAAGCCCTTAATACAGTATCTGGCTCATTGTTAAAGACTCAACAGGTATCTGTCAGTGTCACTGTCCTCCCATTGTTCATTGATTTTCTCGAGTGGGCCCAGTAATGTCTCCATTGTGAGACTTTGTTGTTACTGTGTTTGGCATATCGAATACATCACGGGTAGCTTGCCAGGCTTTGCCATGCGGGTAAGACACTCTAGGTAGCTTGCCGGGCTCTCCAGGAGGGGCAGAGGAATCAAACTCAGGTCGGCCATGTTGACTGTGTGCAAGGCAAACGCCCTACCCACTGTGATACCGCTCCAGCCCAACAGGTATCTAACATTGAAATATTCAAGTTCAAAATTTTAACATAAAGGCAGACAGGCTAAAATAAAAGGGGGAGTTGATAGATCTGAACATTTGTGTATAAACTCTTGAATTTAAGAAAGTGTTTATTGATAGAACAATAAACACGTTTTTTCCTCTGGGAATGTTTTAAGCCCTCTGGTCTTATCAGTTCTCTGCAGTAACGGCTTAGAACTCCAAGGCTATATGCATAGCAAGTACCTGTATGTTTCTAAAAGTGTTTATTATTCTCATACTAGCTATATGATTTTATAAACTATATATTATAATTATTATAGTTTTATTATAATTTTACAAATTAGCTAAATAATCTAGAATCTGATGCAAAAAAGGGGAGTTTTTTTCTTCTGCATAAAATAAATCTAATGACTTACAAAGTGTTCATAAAACAAATTGCTTCAAAAACATTTTTTGTTTGGGAAATAGTTTGGTGGTTTCCAAAG